GTTATCTGATCAGTGTGGCATCCTTACTTGGGGAGGTAAGGTAAGCCCAGTTTTATCATTTTATATATTGCTTTTTCCTTTTTTATTGTCACTTGCTGTCTCAGGCATCAAGTGCTCCATAAACAAAACACCCACTGTACACACTTTCTGAAAAGAAGTAAAAATCTCACGAATTTCAGAGCAACGAAAACGGCGGTTGCTAAGCCCATACATCAAAGCCTGTGCATTTCTGCTTGAGCTACTCAGATCTAACTATTAGGTAAGCACCTGGTGTGCTGCCTGTCACATAGCGGGAGACTGAAAAGGGTTCTGTCTTTTTTCTCTTCCTTTCCTGTAGTAGAATTCAGTTCCATGAAGGAGCTGGGTAGGCGCTGGAAATGGAGAGGTGAAGGAGAGGAACGTATTCCTTGACCTCAAAGAAGTGTGGGGAAAATAGGGATTGAAAACGAGTAAAAGTGTTCATGTAGGGAAGACAGAAGAGTGGAAGAAAGAAGCGTTACGAATCGAATTGTGTCTTCTTCAAATGTATATGAAGGTCCCAGGGCCTCAGATTATGGTGTTATTTGGGAATAAAGTCATTGCAAATGTAATTAGCTGAGATGAAGTCAGATTGGAGTAGAGTGGGCCCCTCCCTGATCCACTATGACTGCTGTCCTTATTACCAAAAGGGGGGCCCCCCTGGCTGGGTGGCTCTCTCCTGTAATCCAGCACTCTGGGAGGCTGAGGCGGGTGGATGATCTGAACTCAGGAGTTGGAGACCAGCCCGAGCAAGAGCAAGATACTGTGTCTTAGGAAAAAAAAAATACCTGGGTGTTGTGATGGGCACCTGTAGTCCCAGCTACTTGGGAGGCTGAGGCAAAAGGATCACTTGAGCCCAAGAGTTTGAGGTGGCTGTGAGCTATGATACAACGGCACTCTACTCAGGGTAACACAGTGAGGCTGTGTCTAAAAACAAAAGGGGGGGTGTAGACTTGGATACTGGTACACATGGCGAGAACTGCAGGTGACGATAAAAGCAGAGATCTGCGAGCCCAGGGTGCCATAGACTGCCAGCTCACCCTCAAAAGTGAGGAGAAAGTCCTCACCACCCTCAGAAGGGACTAACTCCAGAACTGCGAGACCGACCGTAAATTTGTGTTGTTGAAGCCACTCAGTGTGCAGGGCTTGGTTACTCAGCCCTGGAAGGCCGGTCCTGGGAGCCCCTGGAGTATTTAGTCACAGGGGGAAGTGAGGTCCCTTGGAGGACACGGTGTCCTCAGCTGAGCCCTAAAATATGGTTCCAAGTTAGTTTTGGAAAAACATAAAGGAAAGCATTTTGTAGAAGAAAATAGTATTTTTACATATGGTTAATTGTTACTTTACAATTTATTCTACTACATTTGAGTCTCTGGTTTCTAATCTCACAGCACATTAGCACTAGAAACGGAAAAGGCTGCTGTTCCCCCTGTGGCTGACAGAACAGACTAACAGTGGTGGAGGACAGAGAGACTACAAGATGGGAACAGCTGGGAGGGGGATGCAGGGTGGGGAGGGGGACGCAGGGTGGGGAGGGGGACGCAGGGTGGGGAGGGGGACGCAGGGTGGGGAGGGGGACGCAGGGTGGGGAGGGGGGGCAGAAGCTTAACAGCCGCTGCACTTCTGGGCTGTTGAGTGAAGGGTTCACATCCCTGTCAATAGTATCTCGTGAAATGGCTGCTGTGGGCATAAAACAACCTTGAGTTTCTATAATTATGGGAGTTAAAGTACCCGAGGGATGTTCTGTTTCAGAAGTGATAACAAATACGTAGTTTCTTGAACACCTACAGGATGCTACTTCAAATTAAAACTGAACCCCTCCTCTCCTTTCTGCTGTTTCTCAGACTCTGATTTTTCAGAATGTTGATGAAATCGGATTAGGCGGCCCTTCTTGTGCTCTGGCAGAGACCTCTGTTTTGCTACGTCATAGCACTAACCATGACCTCCATCTCTCCTGTCCCCTTGCTAATCTGCCTCCTACCATAGACTGTTATCTACTTGGGACACAACCCAAGACTTTGAAATGAATCTCTCTCCCCTTAGAGCCTGCATGAAAACTGGCCAAAAGTGAGCATTAAATAAATTTTTAACAACTCTGGCTTTAAAATATTCCCATCCTCAGTGGTCAGAAATTTTTAAAGAATGTATGCTTATATATATATAAACCCTTGGTTAGCACAAATGCCTGATTTACTAAAAGTTTTAGTTATATATGTGCATTTTTTTCCTTCATTGCAAATTCCTGCGGGTCCCTCTGCCACCAAGATACACTAAGATTTTAATTCCCTGTCTACACAAACCTCTTCTGGTGTGGGTCTATCCTGCCATATTCTCTTTTGACAAATTTAGGGTAATTTTGAGTTGGATTGGGTTTTTTTCCCCCTTGCTTGTAGCCAGAGAAAAATCTACGTCATATTTCAAATGCTAATTTTCAGGTTTTCCCTTTAAAAGGCTGTCGGCATAAAGATTTGGAAAGGTTAACGGAAAACAGAGCAAAACCTCAGAGCTCTGTTCTGTTTCTCTGAAAGTCTGTTCTCCTGTCTTGCCATGAGAATTGCCGCTCCATCTGCCCCCCATAGGCACATGTCCGGCCCATCCCCTCGCAGGGGTCTGGTTTTCAGGTAATGACTAATCTCGACACACTCAAGAATTCCGAGTCCAGAGGGGACCTTGTGGAAACCTCATGCCCTCTTCTTCTCGTGGCCATCAATTATGTTTCCTTGGTTTCAGGGATAATCTAGGAAATTCTTAAAAATCATTAATTAGATTATTTTCAAAAGAAGTTCAAAGCATAATAAGTATATTTCTTTTTTAAACTCTTTTTCTTTGATCAACATAATTTAAGTGTGCTGTAAAAGTTTAACTATAGGTTCAAGTGTGCCAGGAGATTTAAAAAAAAAAAGGTTGAAAACATTCCTTTAGTGTCCGTCATAGATTTGGATGACCTCACCCACCTTCAGTCAGGGCTGCGGCTTGGCGCCTGCAGGGCCTTGTTTGCTGGCCACCCCCATGTGAGGTGCATGAGCCTGTTAACCCCACAGTGGTGACCCCTACTGCCAGGAGCAATTCTCGGGACCGCAGGGGCAGCAGTGAGCTGTTACCGTAGCCGCGGCACTTGCAGCCGCTGGAAATGGGCACACCTGCGTCAGCGTGCACCTGGCGCAGCACACGTGCTACACGTAACTGGAGACAACCATGTTTCCCACTGGCACTGAGCCGTCATTGTCCCACCTGGATCCCTGGCCTCCCATTCACTCTCGCCTTCTGTCCATCCATCCCATCACTGTGAGGATGACGTTGGGAACACTTAACAAGGTCTGCTGGGTCCTGCCTGTCCTGCCTCACCCGGCTCCACTCTCCTCAACCCTGCATTCCCCAGCCGTGCATGGCCAGAGCTGGCGGGCAATGCCTCGGTCCCTGAGCACGCCAGCTCTGTCGGGCTTCACAGCTTTCCCCAGGGTTTCATCTGCCTGGAACACCCTCCCAGGTGCTGTCCACCTTCCACTGCACTGGGCTGACATCTCTCCTTCACTCAGATCTCAGCTCAGAGATCATTTCCTCAGAAACCCTTCTTAAACCCTCTCCTTATGAATCCCCCTGCCAAGTGGCCAAAACTCCCTTTGTGTGACTTTACCTTTTATTTCCTGTCTTATGAAAACTATAGCCCAAAAAAATTCATATATTTTCTTTGAAGCTTGCCTTTTTGACTTTAACAATAAGAACCATAAAAAATTTTTTGATTTGCTATGTATGGAGTGAACTCATCTTTTTATTAAATCATAACTGTGTACATTAATCCATTTAAGGAGCACAATGTGCTGATTTTATATACAATTTGGAGTGCTTACATCGAACTGGTTAACATAGCCTTCACCTCACTTACTCCTTTGTTGTGTTAAGGTGTTTATAATCTCCTCTTAATAGTTTGGACAGGTACCCTTGCACTGTGCACATTGGGTGAGGCCCCACCCAATGCCCTCCCGCCTCCCAGCCTCCCCGCTCCCTGCCTTCTCCCTCCTCTTCCCTCCTACTGTCTGGACTATAGTTGTGTTTTATCATTCATATGATAGTGAGAGTGATTATATATTGGTTTCATAATAGTATTGAGTACATTGGATACTTTTTCTTCCATTCTTGGGATACTTTACTAAGAAGATATTAGAGTTCCATCTAGATAAACATAAAAGATGTGAAGTCTTCATCTTTCTTTATGGCTGCATAGCATTTTTAATTCATTTTTTCTAATATCTATGTGGTGTTCTATCATATTTGTGCATATGATATGCATCCTATGTTTTACGATAATTTATTTAAATTCAGTTCCTATATTGATCTTGATAAGAGTTCAGATTGTTTCTGTGTGTGTATATGCATGTGTATTTTCATTTTACAAATAATAGTATAAAAACATCTCTGAATAAATATCCTTACATTCTAATGCTTATCTTTCTGTAGGCTCAATCCTCAGAAGTGGTGTGGTTTGGTCAGCCTAAGTATGTACTTTCTATGTCCATATACAGTGCAAATAGCCCGTATGGCACCAGCTGACGGGGCCTCCTTGTCCTCAGCGTCTGGTGTCTTTCAGGCCTTTTGAGGTCGGCCGATCTCTTGGTAAAAGAGCGGCTTCTCAGTGTTCGTCTGAGACTGTTACTGATATTAGACATCTTTCTATACAAATACAGTGTCAACGACAGACACGACCCTTTACTGGACTTTACCATATTAATTTGAGGGGTGAGGTGGAGATGTTTTAAGCACATCCTTCACCCTTCAGAGTGAATCCAGGGAAGCACCCACTGGTCCTCAGCTGCTCCCCAGTGAAGACCACGGATCTGGCCGTGGCCGCTGTATCGGGACATCATCTGCTGGTCTCCTGTTGCCCAGAGGGTGGGGGCAGTTTTGGTGTGGAGGGACGTGTTGGCGGCAGGGAGAGCAGAGAGTCCTGCTGGGTCCGTGACCATCTCCGTCTGTCTCTTCTCTTCCAGATACCACCCAGATGAACAACGCAGTGCCCACCTCCCCCCTGCTCCAGCAGATGGGCCACCCACATTCGTACCCCAACCTGGGCCAGATCTCCAACCCCTACGAGCAGCAGCCGCCAGGGAAAGAGCTCAACAAGTACGCCTCCTTAAAGGCAGTCGGTAAGGGCCTCCCCAAGGAGCCGTCCCTCCTCTGTCCTCACTTGGCTCGTCCGGCGTCACCTCTTTCTTTCCAACATATTTTCTACGCCTTTTTCTATCCCTTGCTCCTCTGTTTCTCTCTGCCTCTCTCTTTCTCTTTCTGTCTGTCAGTCTTTGTCTCTCTCTGCCTCAGCCTATCTATCTATCTATCATCTACCTGTTTATCATCTATTCTATGAAGGCTGTCCAGAAAGTATCCAGCCATATGACATGGGAAAAAGTAGAGGCATGTGTGGCTGGCTACTTTCTGGACAGCCCTTGCGTATCTCTTTCCTGGGTCTCTCTACCCGGGACCCTCGGGTTACTGAGGACCCGAGCCCCATGACCAACTTGAGCCCCCAGATCAAGTCCCACCTTGCTGTGGGGGGCAGAGTGTTCTGGTGAGGGACACGTGGGGTGAGGGCTGGGGAGAAGACCTGGATGTTTCCTTGGTCCCACTGATACGCTGACCCCTTCCTCACCCTTCTCTGCCCTAGTGAATCCTTGGGGAACCTTGGCTTAGAATCCCGGTCTCTTGGTCTCAGACATGCCTTGCCCATTCTTGGGTAACACCACTCACCTGCAGAGTCCATCACGTCTCTGAGAAGTCAGTAAACAAGGCCTGTTTTTTTTTTTAATTAAATCATAGCCGTGTACATTAATGCAATCATGGGGTACAGTGTGGTGTTTTCATATACAATTTGAAATATTTTCATCAAACTAGTTAACAAGGCCCATTTTTACCCCAGGCAGCTTCTGCTTGTCAGGGGGTAAACATTTAGGGGGCTGGCAGCCTAGAGCTGATTCAGTTCTTAGCAAGTGTGAGAACTTTGCACACATGGTCCTGTTTTCACTTAGTGATCTGAAGAGAAAAGAATGATTAGAACCCCAGTTGTCAGGTTCAGAAGCTGCGGCTCTGATGGGCTGACTTAACTTGCTCCAGATTAAGAAGCAGTGGGTGACAGAGCTGAAAATTGGCCCCCTGTTCTTATCACCACTCCAGAGCCAGTGAGCCCACCACTGCCTTGGCTCTTCTCTGTCTATCCCCACTCATACACGGAAGTGTGACAGTGACCCTGCAGTGACTATTTGCTCAGAGGAGGTCTACCAAATGGCAGGGGCAGCCATAGCACGGTGATTCCTGATCTGTGACTGGCTTTGGAACCTCAAGTTTCCCCAAACCAGTAGTTCCCGCGTGTGGATTCCTATGCCTAGAGTAACCCGGAGAGCAGGTGGAACAGCCGGACACCCAGTCCCATCCTAGAGATGTTAACTGAGCTAGTCGAGGATGGGTTCAAGTGTGGACATTTTCAAAGCAATCTCTGGATATTTCTAATGTGAAGCCAGAGCTCAGAGCCATTGATTAAAACCGTGCCATTGACTGGGCATTGAGGAAAACCAAACCCCATCTCAAGTGTTTGCTCTGAACTTCCTTCTCTAATATCCTTAATTGCTCTTTACATTTTGATGTGATCTTTATATAAACGGACAGTCCTCTCCTCTCCTTTCACTGTGTCCTGTGAGCTCTGTTTTTCCTCCATGTCTTGGAGGAGAACGTTTTAAAGCCTGTCTTCTACTTGGCCTGCTCCTTCTCTGAATTATTCCTTGGGGATCTAGAAAGAGCCAGACAGATGTCAGTTACAGATCCTACCTCAACTACTTCCCATCTGTGTGGCCTCAGGCAACACAATTATCCCTTATTTAGGCTTCAGTTTTCTAATCTGTAAAATGGGCATAACAGTACCTGTGAGGGTGAACCAACATTCTCATATCACAGCCTTTTAAAGGATACTCTTGTGATATCTATTAGTCACCTCCTTTCTCCATAACCACATTATCTTGTTACTGGTAGCTCCATGAATGTGTCCCTTCCTGATTTTCATCTAAACGTGTGCTCAGATCTCATAAGAAGGTCTTACTAAGTGTCTTGACACATTTTCCCTTTCAAACATGGAGTCCTCTCCTTTCTAGCAGAATTGACTGTCAAAAGTCCCCGACTAATAAAAACAATTTATTTTGGGTAGGATTCCATTGGCTAGGCAGAAGTCCTCCTGCTCTTTTGCTGTTTATAAAATTAATTGATCTATTCCCACTTTTGAGCAGGCAAGAAGACCTCCCAGACCATGCACTTTCTTTCATTATAAACTTTTCACCCCCTTATCTTTCCCATTGCCAAGCTCCTCATTAGAGAAAGGACAGGAGATGCTCGCTGATTGATTCCAGTGTGGAACATCCTAATTCTGTTATAAAACTATTAACTAAACCAGAACCCAAAGCACAGATGTGGTTTTCCCATCAAACCATATGGGGGTAACTATAGTGCACACACATCAGACTCATGAAACAAGCTTACTGGTGCCTAACAGAGGGCCAGGCACGTCTGGGTATCTAGAGTTTGTGCCAGAAGTCTGCCCTCTGGAATTCATGTTCTCTGATTTCCTGGAACTTCCAGATAGAATCATTAGGAGAAGAGTTCTATCAAATTTATAATACCAAACACACAAGTTGTGCAGCCTGACATGGACTTTTCTAAATCTGGAGCCTTGTAAGACCTTTATATGTGGTTATCCATGTTTCACTTGGAATTTCTACTCTGAACCCTGAATTTCTACTGCTGAACCCTCGTTATGCCCCGTGACTGTGGAGTCCTTATATCCATGGTGTGTCTACACACATTCTACCCATCCTGAGCATATTCAAATGGTCTCAGGTATTACTAGGAAGGGGCGAGGGCTGTTGCCTATGAGAACAAGCATTAGGGCATCTTTGCTTATGTCACTGTGGAAGGCTTCATATGCTATTTGGGGACCCACTTCCCTGTCTGAGCCTTGCAGTTAGGTGAGAAATAGCATATGCTGTTGTATTTTATTCTTCTTGGGCATTAAAAAAAATCAACCCAGATGTCTTTTTCTTTTTCAACTGGTCACAGTAGCTTATGCAACTCATTTCTTCAACTTAGGCTCTGCGTCTCCTCCCCTCAACACCCAGTAGCTCTCTGGGAAAATAACAGATGGACATTCCAGCAGGGCTGTTTAATTCTCTCCAGGATTTGTGAAGGACTCCTTTGCATAGAAAATGTCTGCAGTGCATGTGAAAATAACTTTGCAATAGGAAAATCACCTGATACTCTTTAAGCAACCCTCTGTTCCATAAATCAGGAACTCCTGAACTATTTGTTGAATGAATGAATGATCTTGTTTTGTACAAGCATCAAAAAAAAACAAAAACAAAAAACAAAAAGAGTAGCTTGGTAGTGAGGAAGCACCCTCAAAGACTCTGAAGGATACCACTGGGGGCCCCCCCTCCTGGCTGTGCTTGATGTGTACCTCTTGTTCTTCCTCCACCTTTCTGATGACTGTGAGAGTTCTCAGGGCTTTCTTCGAGATGGTCTAGGAACTCAGAAGGGACCAGTTTAGAGCAGAGTGAGGGACTGCTTGACCTAGTGGGTCATCCAGGGGTCCAGTCTCTGCCTGCACAAATAAAATGCAAATCCCATAATAAGTGTTTTTTCAGGGATTCTTTATTAAGGCATAATGTGATCATGGTATGAATGTCAAAATGCATTTCATTAATAAAATCATTAGTACTCAGGAGAGAAGTTGTTTTAAAAAGTAGTTTGCTGTTGAAAGCTCTGAAACCTCTAATAATCAAACTCATTTTCTAAAAAAAAAAAAAAAAATTCAATTCAGTGAATAAGGAGAGTGTTAGATACCCTTTAGGGTTAACTGCTCAGTTCAAAAGTACCTCTAAAAAATAGAGGCTCTAATATCCAGAACATGAGCAGGAGATGCTCTGTCCCTAAATTGATTTAACTGTATGAGTTTGAGCTGGTCACAGGAACTCTTGGCCTTCTGCTTCTTGGTGTGAAAATTGAGGAAGCTGAACTATATGGTTTTCAAGCTCTACTCTAATTTTAAAATTAGAAAATTAAATATTTTCACTCACTTTAGTTACTAGAATACCTATGGGCCATTAAACATGTGCCATTTATTCACTGCCAACTATGGGAAAGAAACGTTTGGTTGTTCCCGAGAAAAATTCTCTCCAAACCTGCCTTCCTTTCTGTTGCATTTTATTTTGTTCACTTACTGAAATCACTCTCATTTATGTTCAAGAGAGCTCTTTTTTCTTTACAATTCAAGGATTTGAGTGTATACCATCTGGCCACATAGAGCATGTAACCACAGAATGGTCTCTGCCCAGCTCCTTGCAAATGATTAGCACATACCAGGAAAATGTCAGGGACTGAACCATATGAACTCTGTACAAGAAAGGGTGATGGGGTTGAATTCATTCATTCTCCACAGATTAAGTTCCCTTTCCCTTGATTGCAAAACCAAGTCTGTGCCAATCATCCATGTATCTCCAGCACCTAACACTAAATGGGGTGCTTAGTAAGTGCTCCCAAAACCTATCTGTAAAGCTAGAGAAAAATACCTTGTGATAGGCACCCGTCATCAAGGCAGGAGCCTGGGATGACCAGCAAGATAGCAGAATGGAGCACAGCCTCTGGAATTGGCCAGGGCTGAGTTGAAGACCTCGGCCTAAGCTCAGACACAGATCAAGTAACTGTAGGAATCATTTAACGTCCTCAAGTCTCAGTTTCTCCCTTTGCAAAATGGAGATAATAATTATAATACACCACGAATAGCTTGGAAGATTTAATGGTATGGTACAGGTAAAGTTCTTAGCCTGACACGTAGCCAGGCTTTGGTATATACTTCAGCATAGTAAAGTCTCAAACCAGAGTTGTTTGCTGGTCATCTTCTTCCCCTCATCTTACCAGATGTCCTGGTGGCTTGATAACTTACAATTGCCTAAATTTGGTTTTGAGGGAGGGATGGTTTGATGGGAAAAGACATACATGAAAGTTAGCTTGTGTCAGGGACCTGCCCACACAGGCAAGCTGAGCCGTCCTGAGGACCAGCCCAAAGTCACCCCAAAACTCTTGAATTTCCTCATCTCCAACCTGGACAAGAAAT